AGAAAAGCATATTCCATCGTGTCATAAATAACTTCATGATACAAGGTGGCGATTTTACGAACAGAGACGGAACTGGAGGTTAGACATCCGTTATGTTATTAACCCTTGAAGGTAAGAGCATCTATGGCGACAGATTCAACGACGAGAATTTCAAACTTCGGCATTACGGACCTGGCTGGCTCTCCATGGCTAATGCTGGTAAGCATTAACTTGTGCAAATAAAGCGTTCAAAGGTCCTAACACGAATGGTGCCCAGTTTTTTATCACTTTGATTAAGACAAATTGGCTAGATGGAAAGCACGTCGTCTTTGGAAAAGTTCTGGAAGGAATGGTAATTTGCCATTCATGACATTATTTGTATTTTTAGGATGTCGTTAAGAGAATTGGATATACCGAAACAGATTCACATGACAGGCCGAAGAAGGACGTTACCATAACAGACTGTGGTTCACTGCCTGTAGAAAAGGAATTTAATGTTGCATTAGACGACTGAGCCGACTAGTTAACCGAACAGCCTTCCAATTTTATCACTGGAATACTGGCACCGGAGGGGAATTTTGCAATTTTTTGACTTTAAAACATTCGTTTAACCCTGTTGGCTTTTGCTGTTCATTGTCGTGCTCGTATAGCCGCGGCATGTCCGTTATCATTCGTTATTTTTGGCGCTAAGTTTTTCAATATAAAATGCCGGTAAATTTGTGGTTGTCTTATTACGATTTGCATGGTGGATAATTCATGGGGAAGATGGTGGCTACGCATGTCTTCTACCCCTTAAATCATCTCGTTTTCCGAGGGCAAAAGTCACTCGTTGGGTCTGCGCTATTGCTGTACATAGTCTTTCCGTTGTCTATTTGTGTGTCCTATTTGTGTTGTTTCTTACCTGATTCTAGATTTTTTGATAATAACTTGGGAAAACAACGCGTGTCAGTGGACTACAAGTCTATCGTCACTGTAGACTCATTGCGTCGTGTACGTAATTGCCATGTTCTGAGGCCGTCACTAGGCTAGTCTTAACATATCCAGCTTACTTCCTCCTGATAGAGACGGTACTGACCATTGCGCGTCCTATATGGATATACTAAGTCGGACGATCTATCGAAAATCAACATTCGATCATATCTGGATTATGATAACAATTTAAGGACCTTTTCCTTACAAGTGTAGTCATTTTGTCCTCTATGGTCATTTTCGAGTGCTGTTCACCGATCTCGATGTCGAAATTTTCTTTTTTATTTGAACTCGGCATCTCGTCCACCAAATGTACATTGTGTGAGATTGTGTTTGCATTCTTTAACCTCAAGGCAGGTCTAAGTTTTAAACCTGGATTATGTGCATAGTACTCACACTCGTAGCTTGCATAGTCCTCCCGTTTTAGCGACCACAGCCGAGTTTCATAAAGAAAATCTGCCTAGCGCTCCCCCTAATCGTCGATTTAGGAATGGTGCTAAACTTGTTATTTTATTTAACAAATAAAAAGGCATTTTATGCCATCCTGAGGGGTATTTTGTTTTGTCGACCCTTTTCACAACGTCCTTCTCTATCCGACTATTAATTAAGCGTCAGGTACTATGTCTGATGTTGCAAAGTGTTTGGCCGAATGAAAACTCAGGACAAGTCTGACCACCGAGTAAGCCATTCGTGGTCCTCCGCCCGTCTGCTAACCCTCTGTCGAAATAAACTCTCAGTACCGCCCACTTGGCTCAGGATATGTGATTAAGTACTTGGAAATCATAATGGTCTTTGCCAGTATGAGAAGCATATCCGGGCGAAGGCTCTACTTCGGGAGTTACCATAAATCATATAGCGCTTTCGGATCGTAGGCTTCCCTCTGGCGATTCGAGTGTGGCAAGAAAACCATAAAGCTGTCTCTTTAACCACGGCTTCAATTGCGTTAACAGAAGGGAGACTTATCTATAATCCCATTAGCTGGACTGAAAAGACGTAAAATGCTGACTGTTGGAATGGAGGCGGAAGTCTTGTTTCGGAAAATTATCGGCGGGTATATCCATGACATAAGCACCAGTTAATTCTGAGATATCGAAAAATCAAATTATAGCACCCTATAACCTCATGGGCTTAAGTGGGACCACATTGTCATAAGGTCTCGCCGGCTGGTTGTCGCCTAACCACTGGAGGGGTGGGCGTCCAGCCTCCAACCCGACTATCGCTTTAAATGCACCTAGTCAAAATTTTGCGATGCTACGTGACATGCTAAAACTAATCTCATAGTAGACCTTTACGTGTTTCATGTAGGTAAATGAACCTTGGCTAACCAGCTGTTCGAATTTAATGGCATTTAATTCGCTCCCACGTTGTTATTTTGATTTTTCTCGCGGGACTTAGTGCCCACTACAGTTATCTTAATGTGTAGTGCCTTGACCGTTCGCTAGAGAGTGTATTCAGGCATTGGATGTCTTATTCGAGATTCCAAACACGACGTCCTAATTCATCTTTCAGATTACGTTCTTCTGTCGATGGTTGCGCTGTCTCAGCCCACCCTCTGTCCGAATATTTCTATTCTGCGCAAATATTGTAAATTCGCATAGTCAAGATGATTATGGCAAAGTGCTGATAGATGGAAAAATAAACGCTACAGAGGCCTATAAGATGCACACTAGACGCAAAAACTTAAGGCCCATATTTTACTTCTATCTGTTGGCTCGTGTTTAAAGCAGTCATAGGTAGACAAAACATGTTTGATGAACGTCAATAACCGTCAGTCAAAACAGAAATAAGGCAAGTACAGTCGGAAAACCACGCGATTGAAGGCAAAAATCCACGGCTCGCAACGATCTTCCTTCGGGGCTTGCTTCCTGATAAAATTAGCGAATTCCACTTTGATCCTGAGTTCCGGTTTTCTTCCTGTTGCTCGTGCTCTTTTCCGCAAAGTTCTTAACAATTTCGTTTATGCGCTGCAAGCGGTTAAATACAGGAAAAACTACAAAATTACCTCGTCATCGGTGCCTTGAGCCAGACGAATGGCGTCGTCCCCTGCCTGTAAAATAAATGCCCACAAAAAATGTATAACAACATTCTTTCAAGGTTTGCTTTGGGAATTAATAATGGTACAACACACCACGGGGGTGCGACTGATTCGTCATTATCCACACTGAATGAATTCATAAACGGACGAAGGCATTGTGGTGAACTATTTTTGCAAAATAAATTGGCGGATATACGTTTGTTTTCGATACCTTTTCGTCAAACCTGTATATTTATATCGTAATTAACTGAATGCACTATGCACGTTGGTAGAAAAAAAATGCGGTTCTCAGGGGGAGGGGTGGGGGTAAATATACACACTTAAAGAGAATGAGACCATAAACATTGTTGCAAACAACAAGAGAGACTGGAATGACCGTTTCTGGCTCATTGGCCGTCATCAGCCAGTCATACCCAATCCCACCTGGTGCACCACCCGAGGCTCGAACCCGCAACCTGCTGATCAAAAGGCCAACGCTCTAACCATTGAGCTGAGGGCTTGTTGTCATGACGGTTTAGATGAGGAATAGTTTAAATCGTCGAGGAAGGCTCACCCATCGCTAATGGAACTTAAGCGTTCCGTTTTGTCTTGGGCCACCCTCTCGAGCTCAACAGTACAACAGTTAGTAGCGTAGACAGCGGACAATGGGTACTGGAATGGCCGTTTCTGGCTCGTAAGCCGTAACCAGCCAATTTTACCCAACTCCAGGTGATGCACCAGCCGAGACTCGTCCTGTTGATCAGAAATCAAACCCTCTAATCAATGAAGTTGACATAACGGAGTCTTTTGTTAAATGATTGTTAAAGGCCCGTATTGGCGCGGGCTTTAGCGAACTTAAGTACCTCCAAGTAAATCTGCCGTTTTTTTCCTCCTTCGAATCAAGCCAAGTATTCTTCATGAGTGTCGTATCACTCATCGTTCGGACCCACGTGGCATTTAATTGTTCACAGAACTTGTTATAACCCGCGCCTGGTACTTGATATTAACACGAACGCTGAGCTAGCTTGACTGTTTTCCCGAACTCCAGCAAGAGCCTGCAAGAGAAGTCAACCGGCTCAGGGGAGAAGTGTATTCACGTCGAGCAAGTCACTCTTAAAAAATGCTGCGGAGTATTTATTCATCCCGCTCCATGAGCAGGCGTCAGCGGCAGAGGACCAATCAGGTATGACAAAAATCGATAGCCACGGCGCGTTCTCATGGCAGCGGGGTAGAGTTGCACTCGGAGGTCTTTCTGTAAGATGAATTATCGTGAGAATGGGCGCATTCCCAACAGAACTATGCCCGAGGAATGCTGTTCTCCACGCGAAAACTTAATTTAGAGTACTTCTGGACCCCAAGAGGTAGGCGCAGCCATATTTATGGCGGATTTGCTGTTACTCCTGAAGTCGTGCGTGCCTGCAGGTCTATAATAACCTACGAGTTGCTCAGCTGATACGATTTTGTCGGATCCTCAACTGCCGGCGTAGTCGTGGTTGTCGTTCTTCCTCCGTGGCATAATCAAAGTATTCCCAATCCTTGGGACTAATCCAGTGAGGATACCAACAGTCCATTTACTCCTACTAATGTACTTAGAGAACTGGAACCTTACTGTCGACACTGGATCTCAGGTTTGTGTCACTGAGGAACTGTAATTCACCTTTAGGCCATCAGTATTATCCAATACAGCTTAACGTTTAATGGCTGAATGGTCACTGAGCCCAGTCCTATATTCTGCGTGCCAAACCTAATGCAAAAATCTATCAAAAGGCAGTTTTCGGAGCTTGCTTTAGAGATTTGATTACTACAATGGAGACCGTAAGCACTGCCACAAAGCCAAGCCCTTTCAGTATGTATCTTTACTCACTTTCCTGAATACATATTACATCTAAAAACACGGAAGCCGTTGCGTTTTGACAGATGACATGTAGCCAGAATACAATATGGAGGAGGTACACGGAATCCTATTTTCGAAACGTAAAATAAGTTTTGTCCCAACATTTGAGGAATGGCTAACTGGTCTGGACCGCTTGTCTGCTTCATGTTTATGTCATTCTCTTTCATCTTAGGTACTGCGGCCTTAGATATTTTTCGACGACAGTCTATTCCAGATGGAGCCAATGAACGCCCTTAATCTTAATTATTCATGTAACCCATTTGTGAAAAAGTTGTCTGCCTTGGTGGGATCGAACCCACGACAACAGGAGCTTGGCTGGACAACAGTCAACGCTCTAACTGTCCAGACTTCGAGATCCTGCCGACTTCGCGAGTTCTAATTCCACCAAGGACGCCAAGTGGTTCTCAGTTGGGTCAAATTAATTATTCAAGTCTGCCGAAACACCTTTCCATGATGATTTTGTCCTACAGTTCGTTCTTTTTTAGGCTAAGGTGAGTAGTTCTCTTAACTTATTACGTCCCCAGTTGCAGAAAAAGTAATGATGATAATAATAGGAGTCGTGAGTGATCTGAAGAAAGAAGTTGTTAGAGTATAACCTTTGTTTCAATTGTCAGACTGGCGCCATGTTCTAGCAGTAACTGGCAGAGAGCAGCATGCTTGCAGATAATGGCATTGTGAAGTGCCGTCTTGCCATGTACGTCCTGCTCGTCAATCCGTGCGCCCATGAGAATCAACTGCTGCGCCACATCGGTATTGCCGTTGTTTTTCAGTCCAGCTTCATGAAGAAGGGGAGTGAAAACCAGATTAACCCTGGAGGGTTTAGTGCCTATTTAATAAAATCAAATTGCCTTGTTGGTTCGAACGATCTGGTTAAATTGTAGAGGAGAAGAACGCCCCAGGTCAGGGTATTACGAGAACATTCTTGGAGAAAAAGTTTCAGAACAAAAGTTCGCTAGAGATCTGTAGTGACCCTTTGGTGCCCTTCACCGTGCCACGCCATGCATGAGGTCACGTGATTGCAGCTATTGGCATGCCTCTGGGGCCAGCTGCAAACTCCGTGCGAACGATTGCCTCGAGCGCCTGTGTGCATGCACTAATGGCTGTCTAACTCGGTCTGGCCAATCATCTTCAAAGCTGACTTACGCGAAGATCGTTTTGTCGACACCTGTGAGTACTCCCGCGCTCTCACATTTCGGATGCCGGCCCTCGCGGGCGGAAGCACGCCTATCCGAGTGTCATCTTTCTCCAATCTTTTTTTCCAGTTCCTTCTGTACAGAACAAACTATTCTTTCCGCCTGGGGTCTCACTTCCTCCCTTTCCAATAAGGAAGCAGGCCGAAGATCGCAGTGGCGAGGGTTTTACTCATTAAATAAACCCCTGCGATAGGTCTGTGTGTTACCACAGGTGCATGAACATTTGGATAAGACGGGAATGTCTGTATTACAGAATATTTTACCAGTCTGCTTAAAGGATGGGAATTCAGAAGCTTGAGTTTGAATGAAATGAACTAGTCAGGTCCGGTAGTAGCGTTACAAAGTCAGGGATAGTCTAAACAATTCGTAGTGGACCAGTTCTGTGGCTGCTGGTACCGGCTAAAATGCCCGTGATATTTTATTAGATTTTCGCAGCTGTGTGGAAGTGGTAGTCACGGCACCGTCTTTGTTTTGTACTGGAAAATGCCCCAGTTTGGTTTTACTTTAGAGCTCACAGGGACAGTTGCGCCGTGAGTAGCAGTCGATCATCAGGTCTAATTCGCGGACCCGGGAGACAATATTATGGTCACTTGAGCTTATTTGTCCTCAACAGCCAACGACATGTCAAGTCCAGTTTACGCGCACCAGAGGTTAGAGCTCTAAACATTTATATCCATCGTCTTAACTATCAAAGTTATCATTATTAGGCTCCGTTGGCTGTGATCCCGAATGAGTAATGGTGCTTGGTGTTAACGTATTCCTCCCAGCTTTACCCGGGGACATAGGAAGAAGACCAGCATGCAACGTAATTACTTACCGTACTGACAGTATAAGTGCCAGCTAAAAGCCCAGACAGGTGCTTCGTCGACAGTCTGCCCTTGCATGGCACATTTGCGAGGGGTTCGGCTCGCCCCTGGGTCCCCCAGCAGTTCTCGTGTGCTTTCCGGCAGATACTTCAGTTTTGAAATTGTAACATTTTACTTTTCTCAGAAATTAGTCTCTAGCTTGGAAGACATCAGTATATTCGAAAGTCTGTAGGCGCAGACTGAAGTTTGGTGTGAATATGTGGGCCGAAGTCC